AAAAAAAAAAAAAAATTGGAATTTGGAAAGAAAATACTTGGAGTAATAAGAAAAATATTCACATTTTTTTTCCTCCTCTTTACCTGTATCCGTTTTTAACAGTAACTTTTTCTATATATATAATTTTTTTTGGTTTGCTTATTTCTGAAGAAATGAAAATACAGCGAAGGAGAGCAAAAACAGCATAGGTTGTCTTTCAGACAAATTCCTTACAGCTGATTGAATTCTTAACTTTTAATATTTAAACAGTTAACAGAACTGAACAAATACTTTACCATATAAATGGTTCATAAAACCCCATCTGTCTTGAAGAAAAAGAGAAAAAAAACCAGCAAAAGTGTAACAAACAGGTCAACAAACTTTTTTTTCTTCGATGGTTAATCTGTTCAAAAAAAAAAAAGTTCTCTTTTTCCTTCCTTATTTTTTTTTTTATTTTTTTGCCTGCACTTAAGAAGACTATTATTTGTTCAAAAATTGATTAAGGTGACAAAAAAAAAGCTTTTTTTGTTGTTGTTTTTACAAAAATCCTTACTAAACCATCGTTTTGCTGCTATATAACTGTTAAATGAGCAAAACAAAACAAACGGAAAAAAAAAGTTACAAATTAATTGCCAAAAAGAAAAATGAATGTTTTTTACATCAAATGACATCTGAAAAAATTCCCTTAGAAAAAAAAAAATTGACTGAGCGTTTCCTTCAGCAACGTTTTTCTTGTCGTTTTTTCTTTTTATTAATTGATTTTCATTGACAAAAAAAAAATTGAAACGGCTTTTTTCACAACCGGAAAATTTAAAGATACTTTATTTATTTTTTCTTTTTTTTATGGTTTAAATGTTAAACAACTTTTAAATACTGTTCAAACTGCAGCACTGATAGAATAAACTGAAACATTAAATAACAATAAAAAATAACATTGAAAGGCTTTAGTTTGTTTTTTGTCTCCTTCTTTTCTTCAACCTCAAATTAAGTAATTTTGTGAATGTTTTTGAAGGTATTTACAAAAGTGTTCATCTGTAACAAGTCAATAAAGTTAAGAATTAAATCTCAATATCAACCGACCTGTAAGATTGCCAAAAAAATAGTTGATCAAATCAACAAAAATTTTTGAAAGGAAACGGGATACAGCGGGAGACAAGAAAAAAAAAAAAGTATGTTATCAAAGAGTATGCGGTGAAATCAAAAAAAAAACCTTCAATATGACAGTTCTGATGAGCATAGATCAAACGAATCACTCACTTGTTCTCCGGTAACCGGATCAATAACCTGAATTCTACCCTGCAGATATGCAATATACAGTAAACCATTATGAATAATCATTCCAGTAATTTTACTACTTTTTTGTAGCGGTAATTCACGTAGTAAATTAAGTTTTATTGCCGGTATATAACGATCTGATTGTTCCGTGGATTCATCCTCAAAATCATTGTCAGTTGTCGACGACAGTGGTGGTTTTTGAGTTTCAAATAAATGGTCATCGTTGAACTGAAATGGTTGAAATGTTGTTGGTCGCTCGTACATACGAAGATTGGTATGCAGCGTTTCACGCATATGCGATACTCCACTCCTCAACTTTCCTGTAGCATTTAAACGAACTGGGATTTTTCTGACGATAGCATCCTTTGGTGCAGACGAAATGAAAGGATTTTGCAGGCTTCTGTTGCCGCTCCTGTCAGCTGTCGGTTCTGATGGTGTTGACTGTGACGATTCTGTTACTGTTAATGGCTTAAAAATTAAGGGGCGATCACCGATAGCACCTTGACGATCTCGTTGTTGCTGCTGTTGTTGTTGATGCTGCTGTCCCTGATGCTGCGGCTGTTGATGTGTTAGACGTTCAGTAGTGTCACTGGTGTCCGTATAGTCCCATGTTGTCCGCGAAAGTTCATCGTCATCAGATGGAACAGTAACCAGGATGATAACCAAAGTAACGGCAGCCGAAATAAGCAATATAAGCAGTACAACAATCGCCCCAACAGTTCCCATACGGTGAATTTTTGACGCTACCGGGAATCCGTTTTTCTGTATAACAGCAGCTGTACCGATAACACCGCTTATCGCAACACTTCAATCGCTCTTTAATTAGGTCATCCAATCCAACTCTGCATTTAAATGGTGCCACTTTTTGCAAAACATACATAACTTTATTGGCTTTTCTCATTCTACAACAATAATTATGTTCTGGTAAAATATTTTTCTTTTTTTTTGTCATAAAAAGTTATGTGAACAATTGCTTCAAAAGAAAAATCTGTTTAACTGCTAAAAAGCGCTTATAAAACTGTTGCTCAAAAATATACATAATTGAAAATCGAATAACCACAAAGTTAATCGAGAAAAAATAGAATAAATGATAGATTTTAGATAAGGAATTTTTGTTGATGTTAATTCATGTGCAAAAAATCTGTTAATTCTTTTCTCTTTATTTTTTCTTTTAGGTAACTATTTAATTCCAATTTCTTTTAGAATGACTAAAAAATATCTCTTTTTTTTTGCTCTGTTTACATATTTAATTCTATCAGCGACAAAAAAAAAAAGTCTGATAGACTTTAAAAAAATTACTGAGACAGAAAAGAAAACTGTGATCTGTTGGTTACATTGATAGATTACAAAATCGAATGATACTAACAGAAAATATACATCAAAAAAAAAAAAAGAAACAGCTAACCTGTTGTTTTGTAGACGACTAAACAGCTACAAGACAAATGTTTTCTTTCTAAACTTCAGAAGCACAGATTAATTGTAGTTTTCAATGTCATAATCGTTCACTTAGGACTATCAAATGTTTCAAAGAAAAAAACGAACGTATTTATGTAACCTCTGCTGTTTTAACCTTTTCTTTTTCAACAAAACTTTAAAATCAAAAGAAAAATAAAAAGAAAATAAAAAAAAACAATTAGTTTTTATCTGTTATTTGTTGGCATTATCGAAAACCAGAAGCCTAAATAAAACTGAAGAGGTTGCTGATTACCGACGTTATAGTCACTGTTACTGTGCATTCACTGCTCAGTTGTTCTCCTTTAAATTTTGCATTCGTTGCCTATTCGGGTATGCCGAACAGCAGTCAGTTAACAGTGCTGATAGAGCCTTATCGTCGTCGTCGTCGTTGTCGTCGTCGTTGTCATCAGTTTTTTGACCATCAGATTATCGTCATCAAAGTCCTCCTCCTCTTCCACCTCCCACCCGCCAGCCACCTGATCATTTTAAACTGTTATAAGTTTTACATGGAAAATCTTTAATCAGCAAAATAATTAAAAAAAAAAAGCTTTATTTGGCTATTCAGTCAACAATTGAACACTTATGTATTTTTAAGAAAAAGTTCAAAAAAATTTTATTTAAGCATTGCAGACACTTTCTCGATAACAACAGAAAAAAAAATATGAATCTGACCAGAAGCCCATAGACATTATCATCGGGCGCTTTTTTTTTGTATGTCGTCCTTACCACTGTTGATGGGTGTCTGTGTGAGACTGAAGATACCAGATTCAAAAAGGTTCCATTGAGAGGGTTTTTTTTTTTGAAATCAGAATAAAAACTGTTTTTAATCTATTATTAAAATTTACTTAAAAGATTTAGACTACTTTTTTCTTTTAGAAATGGGAAAAAAAAAGTGATTTCAACTTCTGTTTCGCCTTCCCATGATTATTATCAACTTTTTTTGTTTTTGCTTGCTTTTTCAATAAAAATACATTACGTTTTATGTACAATTTTTTTTTCTTGGCATTTCTTTATTTGACAAAAAAAAAGAAAAAGAGAAAAAAAAAAGGAAAGAAATGATTGATTTTT